AATCATAGAATCTGATTCAAAAAGTTGATAACTTGGTTCCCTACTTTAATATGAAAAGTTACGAAGAAATAAAAAGAATATTTGTAATATACTTTGTTCAACACTTTTCGGCTATTGATTCATATTTTTTGCAGAATATTACTCTAACTATCAAAAAATTGAAAAAATAGAGTGTAGAAGGAGTTAAAAAGGATAAATAATGTCAGTGTTGGCGAAGAATATATATATATATATACTTTTTATTATAAATAATTAATTTTTTTAATAAAAAAATAACACATAATTTGTTCTTGGTAAAAATTTGAGGCCTTCCAAAATTGGGGGCCTAAGGCATATGCCTTAATTTTTATAAGGCAGAGCAGCCCCTGGGTATGAGTATACCCTTCATTATACTTTCGGTACACCAATGACCTTACTGTTCAAATTTTAGAGCGTATATACCATTTATACTAACGGTGATACACGTGTCCTAATCCTATCTACCGACCCAAAATTTATTAAATTTTTCTACTAAAAATTAAAATTCCCACCGTTAGTATAAAGGGTATATACGCTCTAAAATTTGGACGGTAAGGTCATTGATCTACCGAAAGTATAACGAAGGGTATACACATACCATTTACGATAGTTCGGGGGGTATATTTGTCCTTTTTCCCATAAAACAATACAGAAATAAAGAGGACATAATGAATACTTCCTCTGTCCCTATTTACTTGTTCATTTTTTACTTGACACACCTATTAAGAAAATAATAATTGACATTGTGAATTTAACATTTTACCTCTACTATTTTGTAGGATTCCAAAATTAATTTACTCATTGAAGAGGTTCTACCTTTTTTCAAAAACATTAACTTTCTGAATAAATTGAGGGTATAATAGATAAAAAAAATAAATTCATTTCTTGATTTGTCAAAAATGACAAGTTAAAAGTCAAAATTGGACAAATAAAAAGGAAAGATGGAGAGGCTGGACAATAACCATAACCAGCTAATGTGATAACTGAAGCACAATAAATAACAAGGAATAACAAAGGTCGTATAATAGGTCAACTACGAGACAAATTTTTACTACTATTGGTAAAAAAAAAAAAAAGAATCAGGAAACAAAAACAATGCACCAATATATCTTCCTAGAAAATAAAACAACGCTCACCTACCTACTAACCTTCTATCCTAATCTACGACCTTCATAACTTCCTATCTTAAATCATATCCTCAAAAAATTAAAGTTGTGTCATGTCTTGCCATTGCTTCTTGGAGGACCAAGACGTTAATTCCCAAATGGTCACCCACGTTGCGAGAGACAACATTTGCTAAATGAATATAGAAAGGACATTAATTATTATTCTTTCAAATCTACCCATACCCCCAATAAATGGTCTCTACAATTTTCTAAGAAGTCTTACCTAACGGATTCTTTCAATGTATCATTTCTGGGTCCAATGAAATTCATAGGTATAGGAAGACGCCTTATCAAAAGAAGATTTTTTCTTTCGATCATATTTCAATTGTTAATATGATGTATAAGAACCATTACTATCAAGAGTATCACACCCCTAATACTGAAATATCAATTGTTTATTGAACCCTACGAATTGCGTGAAAAAGAAAGCTACCGTTAGTATTAAATGATTTTCTTAATAGATGTGTCAAAAATCGACCAATACAAAGGACAAGTAAGAATTAATACTAGACAAAAATATTAAGGATGAAAGAAAAAAACATGATTGGCACTTGCAGGAGCAACATAGTTAGATCATTATTTTCTTGTTAAATCTTTCCCCTTTGAAGAAGTACTTGTTGGTAATTCTTCATTTGTATTTACTTGTTGTGAACCAAGAGCTGTTAAATTTGTGAATGATGAGTTTCTAGATGGTGATGAATGATGAATTGATTTAGGTGATAATGGAGGTGAAGCAGAGAGCATTCTTGAAACAGCAGGTATTGGTGAAACTTCTGTTACTTCTTCAAATCCTTCATCCAAATACACAACATCTTGCATTGTTAGTTGATGGTACTCAACAATCTCCCTTAAGATTAGATTCTCACGAGCGTATACTGAATTCTCGTGTGCTAGACGAGCCTTCTCTGCTAACAGTGTCTCGAGTTGTAGCCGTATCTGAAATATTGCACCAAACAGGAAAGGTATCAGTTGGAATGTAATGTATGTACAGTAGATAATGAACCCCCTTGACGGAAGTACTACATTATTTTGTTTATCAGGAATAATACTTTGGTTTTGTTGACATAATGTACCTAAACAAGTCCATAAAATATAGTAGAAAGTAGTTTGCTTCTTTTTTTCTAAAAAAACGAATATCTTTATTGAAATTTCTGGCTCTGACTCCTTTGAAACTCCTTTCATCATAATATGCAAGGAAATGCATATGTGAAACTTAGTGTTTTGGTTCATGAGCTTCCTATCTAATCATCCTCTTCAAAATCAACATTATAAGGTTGTATTGCTCGGATTCTCAAAAAAAATTGCCGCACTAATATATGCATTTTTGGAGGATCAGACACGCACACAATAACATGAAGAGTCCGAGCAATATAGATTACAGGCTATGAGTATTGAAGTTGATTTTCACCAAAATAGTATATAGTTTCTCTGATTTCTCTCATCAGGTACATGCTGTGCTTCAACATAATTATTTTTTCTTGAATTTCAGGAAGGACGCACAATTGTTGAGACATCGCAAGATCATATCTCCAATGGACGTAACCCATGGCAGATGCAAACAACTCGGCCACAAACACAAACTATTCATGAAGATCAATTAAAAGCTTCTCGCGACGTAAGGTGGCAACTTGCGTGATGATATATGATGTCGTCCTTCTGGTTTATATAACATTAATCAGTGGCATAGCTACATTGATCCAATGATGGTCACTTGAACACCCTTCGTTGAAAAATTATATTGTGCATATAAGTTAAAAACAACTTATTAGAGATACATACTACAGTTTTGAACACCCTTAGCAAAATTTCTAGCTTCATCACTGGCATTAAGGATATGAAAATATTATAAGTTGAAAATATTATAAGTACAATGAAAGATTGAAATGTTGTTGGTAATGTCTCCTTGCTGGTGATCAAATGCATTTTTGGCCTTTTTTTTTCGGTTTCAGGTGGCAATGGCAACTGCAGCAAAAGCGAAACTGCTACTACGAGAGTTAAAGACAGTTAAAGCTGATCTTGCTTTCGCGAAGCAACGTAGCTCTCAGCTGGAAGAAGAAAATAAAATGCTTCGAGAGGCTCGTGAGAAGGGAGACAACCCTGCAGATGATGACATGGTAGTTCTTTTTTCACTTACTACAACTAATTTTGTTCTGATTTCATCTTCGTAAACATTTTGTTCTGTTTTATGCTGAAAAGCATATACTACTCTAGTTTAACATGCGGAGTTGGCCTGTTACCTACCTAAACTATCACATTTTCGCGAGGTTCATACCTCAACTATCACTCCTTTTGTATTAAAACTCACCTCGTTGCGGAGTTGGCCTACACACACCTGTTCTTGATTAGGAACAAATATTTGGCCAACTCAACATCGAGGTGTGTTTTAATACAACAAGAGTGATAGTTTACATAGGTATAGAGAACAATCGATAGTTGAGGTATAAAACTCGCGAAAAAAATGACAGTTCAGGTGTGTTTTTGATCATTATGTCAAAAACAAGAACATAGTAGTAGAGATTAAGGGTGTGTTTGGTATGAAGGAAAACATTTTCCGGAAAATGTTTTCCTTCATACCAAACACACCCTTAATCTCTACTACTATGTTCTTGTTTTTGACATAATGATCAAAAACACACCTGAACTGTCATTTTTTTCGCGAGTTTTATACCTCAACTATCGATTGTTCTCTATACCTATGTAAACTATCACTCTTGTTGTATTAAAACACACCTCGATGTTGAGTTGGCCAAATATTTGTTCCTAATCAAGAACAGGTGTGTGTAGGCCAACTCCGCAACGAGGTGAGTTTTAATACAAAAGGAGTGATAGTTGAGGTATGAACCTCGCGAAAATGTGATAGTTTAGGTAGGTAACAGGCCAACTCCGCAACGAGATGAGTTTTAATACAAAGGAGTGATAGTTGAGGTATGAACCTTGCGAAAAGGTGATAGTTTAGGTAGGTAACAGGCCAACTCCGCATGTTAAACTAGAGTAGTATATGCTTTTCAGCATAAAACAGAACAAAATGTTTACGAAGATGAAATCAGAACAAAATTAGTTGTAGTAAGTGAAAAAAGAACTACCATGTCATCATCTGCAGGGTTGTCTCCCTTCTCACGAGCCTCTCGAAGCATTTTATTTTCTTCTTCCAGCTGAGAGCTACGTTGCTTCGCGAAAGCAAGATCAGCTTTAACTGTCTTTAACTCTCGTAGTAGCAGTTTCGCTTTTGCTGCAGTTGCCATTGCCACCTGAAACCGAAAAAAAAAGGCCAAAAATGCATTTGATCACCAGCAAGGAGACATTACCAACAACATTTCAATCTTTCATTGTACTTATAATATTTTCAACTTATAATATTTTCATATCCTTAATGCCAGTGATGAAGCTAGAAATTTTGCTAAGGGTGTTCAAAACTGTAGTATGTATCTCTAATAAGTTGTTTTTAACTTATATGCACAATATAATTTTTCAACGAAGGGTGTTCAAGTGACCATCATTGGATCAATGTAGCTATGCCACTGATTAATGTTATATAAACCAGAAGGACGACATCATATATCATCACGCAAGTTGCCACCTTACGTCGCGAGAAGCTTTTAATTGATCTTCATGAATAGTTTGTGTTTGTGGCCGAGTTGTTTGCATCTGCCATGGGTTACGTCCATTGGAGATATGATCTTGCGATGTCTCAACAATTGTGCGTCCTTCCTGAAATTCAAGAAAAAATAATTATGTTGAAGCACAGCATGTACCTGATGAGAGAAATCAGAGAAACTATATACTATTTTGGTGAAAATCAACTTCAATACTCATAGCCTGTAATCTATATTGCTCGGACTCTTCATGTTATTGTGTGCGTGTCTGATCCTCCAAAAATGCATATATTAGTGCGGCAATTTTTTTTGAGAATCCGAGCAATACAACCTTATAATGTTGATTTTGAAGAGGATGATTAGATAGGAAGCTCATGAACCAAAACACTAAGTTTCACATATGCATTTCCTTGCATATTATGATGAAAGGAGTTTCAAAGGAGTCAGAGCCAGAAATTTCAATAAAGATATTCGTTTTTTTAGAAAAAAAGAAGCAAGAATGTCACACCTAACACAATTTTTGAGCCACTTTTGTCACTCTTCTTTTATGTCAAGGGAATTCAACAATTTGTATATATACATAAAAAAGTTCGTATTTTGCACAATTTAATTCTGGAGATTCAATTGAACCCCTTTCAGACCATGTAGCTCCGCCCCTCGAAAGGGAAGAGAAAGGAAGGGCTAAATGATCACCTGGCTTTCTTCAAGAATGTCTTTGCCTTTCCTTGCTAAAACTCCCCAAAATCCATGTGCCTCATTTTCACTATATCCATTCGAAAGAGCATCCTGATTTTGATCCATCAACATACAATTAATCAATTGCTATGTCAACAATTAGAGAGAGTGTTCAATTTATCAAACATAATTTCAAAATCAGGCAATTTTGCTTCATTTGTAAACAATTCAATGACATTTTTCGTAAATTGTATCGACATTTTGAAAAAAAGTGAGTATAATGAGAATTAGGAGGGACCTGAGAAGCACGACGATGATGAGCGGCTGAGGCTCTAATTGCCTGAGCAGCGAGAGACGAGGAGGAAGAAGAGGAAGAGGAAGAGGAAGAGGAGGAAAAAGGATCTCCGGGGGGACGGAAAGTGGTAGTTTCATGATGAAATGTGGAGGATCTAGAGATCCCCTGTTTCGGTTCCCCCGGTGAACGGAAAATGCTTTCTTCCTGGAAAGTGGAGGATCTGCTGATCCCCTGCTTCCTTCTGTAAGCCATTTCTTCAAATTTGTCAAAAAACTTGAACAAGTATTTGAAAACAAGTCAAAATGGGATTTGGATCACATATTGAAGAAAAAGAATGTGCCTATAACGTCTCTAACTAACTTTCCACCTTTTAAGTTGACACTACTATTAAACATTTATAATTTTTTTAAATAAATTAATTGAATTATTACATAGGGGTATGGAGAGAGAATCGAACTCTCACCAACAAGGTTTTAACTTGTATAACCAACCACTAAAATCCTCCCTACCCTTACCCCTACCCCCTGCAAATAAAAAAAAGAATAATTGATTTTGTAGTTTATCAATAAATTTTTATTTTAGTATAATACATAAACATGACTCTTAACTTGATTTCAGCGGACAACTATGACTTTAACTTTGGGTGTGCACAAGTAGACACTTAAACTTGTATAAATTTAAATAAATAAACACATTCGTCCTACATGACACCCTACATGACAATTCTGTATCCTACGTAGCGTCCTACTTGTATGATGTCATGCAGGGAGCATGTGTCTACTTATTCAATTTTATACAAGTTTAAGTTTCTATTTGTGCACTCTCAAAGTTGGAGGGAATAGTTATCCTCTGAAGTCAAGTTAAGGGTCATGTTTATGTATTATGTCTTTTATTTTTATAGCACCCAGTGGTACAGGTGGGTGTTCGATTCTTTGTTTCGGTTTAGTTCTTTCGATTTTTGGTTTTGAAAAAATGTGCATTGAATATTGAACCAAACTAATTTGGGTCGGTTTGATTTTTTAAACTTTGGTTCAATTTAGTTCGGTGTTTTTAAAACAGTTTTTCGATGGGAATGAAAAATAAAATTAGGATAAAATCAAAATATAAAACACTTAAAAATTTAAAATCATGTTAAGCAATGATGTGTCCCACCATGAAATACTTATTATGCTTAAAGACCATATTTGTGTATGTCAAGAACATTGTGCCTCCAACTACTACTCGAGGAATACAAGGACCAAGACTCCTTTAGATGACATACATCAACAAAAATGCACTTAGGTTTCTCACCGATGTTTTGAAAATCTTACATTGAACACCGAACCAAAGAACTAAACTTTTGAAAAAAAGAACACCACACCGAACCAAAAAATCAAAGAATAGAAACCAAAGAACCAAATTAGTTCGTTTGGTCTGGTTTGTTGGTTCTTTGATATTTATGCTCACCCCTATTCAGTGGTACGCCCTAAATCTTAATGGTCTATGAAGTGGTTGAGAGTCATGATGTCTCAGGTTCCAATCCTAGAAGAAAGAAAAATATTAGATAATTCTTTCCATCTAAGCTAACCTTAGTAGTTAGTGAACAAAATTATTTGATACTTATCAAGGTGTGCAAAAGATTATCCGGACACCACAATAATCAAAAAATAAATTAGAAGTTATATGTGCCTTGAAAATAAAATACAATATATTTTTGTAGGATTATTTTCTTCCGTTCATATAATAAGAAGTTATCAGTGTTGAACCATTACAAAAAATTGGGATGTAAACCAATAGTTGTTATCTTTGAGTAAAATTTAAAATATGTGAGATACAAATACTGCTGGTCCTTTCGGTTTTGGTCAAGATCTAATACAGATATCGAACACAAGTAGAAAATCAAAACAAAAACGTCCTTCAAATTCAGAAATACTAAGCCATCTTTTGGTATCACCTCATGAAAATAATTTACACTATTTTGACAAACAATATTAGAGGGAAAATATCAAAATGGCCCCTTTTCTTTGGAGATGCACTTAAACTAATCCCCTCTAGGAACAAAAGCGATAATTATGACCCTAAACGGTTTAGCTATATAACCACGTATCCCAATATACATGTATCTAAACATATCAAAATCTAGTAAAATTCATAATATTGAAATTCAAAAGTATCTAAATAATTAGCTTCTAAACTAATTAAAAAATTTATAAGTTCCCCTCCATTTAAATAACGATGGTGTTCAGAACAACTCGAGAGAATTTGAAAATTTATACAGAGGAAGGAATATTGGCAACAGCATTCTGATCAAAAGTGCCACAAACAATTCCATTTACTTATTTTTATTCACATGAAAATAAGGCCTCATCTTTTGTCTTTACCAAATGCTCAGTCCAACTTTGACATAAGCCAGTTTCAAAGTAGCATAAGCTTGGTATAATACAATAAAAGAAGCCAAGAACAAATAGATGTAGTAGATATACTATTCCTACGTATAATCGCGATACATCTCTCTCCGTGATTACAAACAATGATCAGCTTTTCGACAAGAATAAAAAGCTTCCAATCCGATATCTCGTGTTTTAACTCTCTGTAGCAACAGTATTGATCCTAATGACTTAAAAGAGTATGTTGAGGTAGAGGATGATCCATCCAGCCATAGAGATTACAGCAAATATATGAACCCAAAACAAGACTGAAGCTGCCTCCTTCCCACACCCTCTCAAGTTGGCAACCGCACCTGTCCAGCGTAAAATTTTGATCAAAACATGCATTTCAAGTACACACAGGATAGAGTAAAAGATGAGAATGTGTCTATAGCAGAGTCATTTTCCATTGAAAGTCGTATGTCTGACATGTTATGGAAGGTATTTTACCAGCAAGTATGGATGTGGGCATCGTATACTGAAGAAGAAGAACGAATCTGAACATTTTATCATCAGCAGGAAGGAACCCAAGCTTATCAGCTAACATGACAATACCGAGTCCAGTTGGAGGAACCAAACACAGCCGTGCAAAGACAATCGCAACAGTTGTCTTGAAACCAATTTTTGAACTTCCAGGTCCTGGTCCTGCAGAGATTCAAATATCAAGGCAGTAAATAGGAGCGCCTACAAATTCAACATCCTCGGTGAACAACAAGATTTACCACAAAAAAAACGAGGAAAAATTAAGTTCAAAGGAGAAAAAGGAAACAAAGAAGTGTTGCTTACCGTCTACGAGATTGCCTCCTAAGGCCAACAATATGCAGGGAATCATGGCATCCCTGATAACAAGAAATATGAGAACATTTAATCAACATTTACATATAACAGCATTTCCACCAGTAGACTGAGAGAATAGTATTATTGCATATGTCAATTCAGCCAAGTCCTAGTATTCTATTAGAACAGAAATAAATAAAAGCAGATTCCGCGAATCCAATTCCTTAGCAATATATGCAGATGTACGCTATCACAAAAGGAATATGTATCATGTACTGACATAAGAAATCCAAAGACAGACTCTTAAGCAGGGGTGGAGCCAGCTTGTAGTTAGGGGTTCAGATGAACCCCCTTCAGCGGAAAATTATACTATTTATAAATGATTAAAATCATTTTTTATGTATATATATATATAGTAGATGCCAAACCCTCTTCGGCTAGTTCGTGTTTTTATTTTCAGATTTTGAACCCCTTAGTAAAAATCCTGACTCCACCATTGCTCTTTAAGGCAGCATGCTGCAGGACCAATAGATGACATGTCTCGTCCATTTCAGTGACTGGAAAGGATAATATTTTACATATGCTGCATGGCATTTATGCTGATCTTTAACTAATTCCACAATGGAGTAAAACTTACCCAAGAATTAAACAGCTGTCAGTGAAGAAGTAAAGTGGAGCATCAGAAGTAAAGACGAGGCGCTTCAGGACCGGCACACATCCTATGATAATCGCTAAGATCTGTTGAAAGAACACGCAATTTAGCAACTGTCATAAAAGTTGTTCTAATTGACAATCTGCAAAAAGAATTGCTCTAATAGACAACTATACAAGTGAACTATGCTTGTCAGCTCCCCCCTGGCCCCCAAAATATCCCACAACTCAAGTCTTTTAATCTGAAGAACAGTTTTTTAATAGGTTGAAGAACAGTTGAGATATTTATGAAGAGTATTTTGCTCTTGATATCTCAAAATTACTTGAATAAATGTCACAGCAACAGTATTCGCATACGCGATTAACGCATCAGCAGGTTGGCAACTCAAAGGAAATTCTAAAAATAGCAACTCGGGAAAGCCATATGTAATGCATTTGATTGACAACGGAGTAAGAACTCATAGTTCAGGATAAGGTCATAACATCTCTAATTCCTTAATATCCCGAGAGAAAGCATTGCCTAAAATGAAATATAAAGCCCTTTCAAGCATAAGTGACATAACATTAGTTGACAAAATAGTCTGAATGAAAGTTTGCATAGTAGAAAACCACAGGATAAAGCATTTTGCAGGAGAGAGATGATTCATTATATAATTTATCTCAGTGTAACATTTATAAGATAGAGCACGCAGATAAGTCAATGAAACTGCATATATGGATCCCATCCCAAGATTATTGAACTTACAGAAGCTATAATAGGAGGTTGAATAAGTTGCTTGAGCTTCAGTGTCTCATAGAGAAATTTAAAGAACTCTTTAACCTGTAAGTAAAGTGATGAACAGTCAAACACCAGTATTATAGAATACTATTAAAGGGATTACTATTTCTACCTCATGACACCTCAAACTATGAGTAAAGACGCAAATAATCTAAGCATAGAACGTCTCTCACCTTTTCTTTATTTGAACTACTAGAGTCAGCTGGTGCAACATTTGTTGCAAGTAATGGAACTTGCTCAGCAGAACTACCTGATGGATGGCTCGGCAATTTTTCTTTGTTAGGAACCTTGATAGGAAGGTTTGCATCTTCAACGTCGAAGGAACCCTCAGGAGGAGGTGAGAGCATCTGGAATACATAGGTGTAGAGGATAATTGCACCAACCTACACACATTTATCAAATAGTACTTTTATTAGTTATAGCAATTTTTGAAGTTCAAAGAGGTTAGCAGATACTTCTCTACATTTTCAAGTTTCATGTGAAATTCTGTATTAGGTGCCAGATTTCCATGCAGAGGATGGGGGGTTTAAAACAGAAAAACCCGAGTGGAAAGGAATTACCATTGGCTAGTCAAGCAGTAAGGCGAAATCACAATTTAAGTTGGGGCAATGCAAAATCAAACAGTAGTGGGAAAACATACA